CGGTATCTACGTGCTCACCGCAGGCCCAGGGTAGGTGCTGGCTTCACAGTTCTCTCTCCAGGACATGTTGAGACTGCGCACAAACTCTGGGTAGAAGGGATGAGAGGTGTTGAACATGGAAAAGCCCAGGATGTTGGAGGAGTCCTCTACAATACCGTCCAGATGCAGGATGGGGAAGTCCTAGGACCAAGAAGAGGGTGAGGCCTGGGAGGCATGGTAGGCGGGCGTGGGAGGGGCATGGGTGGGTCGGGGTACGCACCATGGTAGTGAGGATGTACTTGTAAAACGCTGAGGTCATTCCCAGCTCCGAAGCCTGGAGAACACAGGAGAGGCCAAGAGGCAGAGAATCGGTGTGGGGCGGGGGAACCCCAAGAGGGGAAGAGAGATTTAGAGGCCAGGCTGGTCAGGAGACATCCAGACAGAAAGAACAAGCAGGAGACAAGTAAGGGTTCCTTGTGTTTCACCACACTGGCTGGGGCCAGGGAAATCCATTTTCCTAGCAGGGGATAGGGCCCTCAGATGTCTGCTGTTTCCTATGAAGGTTTTCAAAACCTCCTGCTGGAGACAAATGGGAACCTGGGAAATGGGGCAGGCAGGGACAGAGTCCTTACCCTGACCCCTAAGTCACCCAAAACCATTGGCTCAACCTGTTTGGTCATCCATCACAACAGAACTGGGTTGCCAGGCCTTGGGGCATGGGGCTGTAATCCCAGCTACTCAGATGGCTTAAGCCCGTCTGGGCTACAGAGTGAGCTGAAGGCCACTGGGCAACTTTGGAAGATCTTGGCTCATATGAAAGTAAAAAGCAGACTGAGGACAGAGCTCAGTGGCAGAGGCCTTGGCTAACAGTTATGAGGTCCCCAGAGTCAATCACCAGAAACATCAAAAGAAAAGGGGAAGAGGAGGGAAGAGAAGGGAAGGGGAGGGGAGGAATGAAGGGAAGGGAAGGGAATTCTGCAATTGAAGGCAATCAGTCAGAATCTCGGGGTTCATTGTTTGAGGCCCCTCCTCCTTCCAGCCCTCCAGGAGGACAGGCTGGATAACTCCCGTCCTGACACCACACGAGAATTCTAACAGTACAGGGCTCCAGCTTGTCCTGCTACGGGTAGGAGCAGGGCTTGTACACATGGGTATCAGAGAAGGGCAAGATGGGAGAGACCTCCCTGCACACAGTTCCATGGGAGAGCTCTCTGCCCAGGTGGCCTGCTAAGCCAGCGCCTCTTCCCTAAGCTCTCTATAGCCTCAAGAGCCTGCTCAACACTTCTTCCTGCGGGCTACGATCAGCAGTGACATATGGTTTTAATTAAGAGAAAAATAAACGAAAAACAAATGGAGAAAAAGAATAATACAAATTTGATTATCAAGAAAAATTAGCACAGGGGACGTGAATGAATGATTAATGAGCGTGGCTCACTGACGGGTGGGGTGTGCGAGGCCCATGGGCAGAGGTCCTGGTGCTCCAGAATCCCAGACTCTACGTCTACACAATGCTCAAACTATGTGCTCTGCAAGGTGGGGGGAGAGCCCCAGTTAAGGAAGCTTGTGAACCTTCAACACAGAGCTCCAAGAAAACCCCTCAAGTTGTCTCGTCCAAGGTCGGCCCGAACTACCCACAGAGAGATCTCTTGCCTCACAAACATCAAGGGCTGGCTGGAGATACAGCTCTGCAGTTAGGAGTGTGGACTGCTCCTGCAGAGAACCTGAGTTGAATTCCCAGCATCCTCATGGCTCACAAGCGCCTGTAACTCCAGCTCCAGGGGAATCCCACACCTCTGGCATGGGCACTTAGGTGCACACACCCCCACACATAGACATAATTAAAAATTATAAATCTTTTTAAAGAGAAACAAGCCATGGCAACCACATTCAGCTGGGTGTAGCTGACCAGAAAGAAGTGTGTGTTAGTGTGGAGGTTGAGGCTGTCGTGGATGGGCATGGTTATCAGTCAATTGCCAAACACAGCAAAAAAAAAAAAAAAAAAGAAAAGGAAGAAAAGGACTCTCCTGGGTCACGTGAGACAGAAGCTGCAAAACTAACAGACCCTATGAAACCCACAGCCCACCACGGGGAGGGGGGCGGTGTCTGTCCCCCAGTTCTGTGGGGATGAGAGGGGGCCCACCTTACGGAGGACGAGGTGGGAGATGGACGCGTTGGCATCGATGATGATGGTAGACACTTTGTCGTCTCGGATCTCCTTGAGTAGCGGTGTGGGGTCCTGGCTGTCATCTAGCATCCTCACGGATAGTGTCTCCTAAGAGATGAGGAAGCCTCGCACCAGTTCTTCCAACCGTAGCAAGCCTGAAGGGGGGCCCGACCGCACGTTAAGAGCCTGCCTGGACACGGAAGCCCGCAGATGTGCCTTCCCCTCGCAGCTGGGCCAAAGACTGGAGACCATGCTGAGAAGATAGAGTGGCTGTCTCCGGAAGAGCTGTTGCTCTTGGGGCCCTGGTTTTGGGGACTTAAAGCTTTGAGAGATTCCCCAAGTAAAATCCCCCTGAGACATGTCCCCAGATCCCCAGATGTCTGACCTACCCCCTTCCTGACCACACGCCGCAATGTCTGACATAGTTAATCGTCTCCTCGGCCCGTCTCCCTCCTTCGGGTAATGGGCAATCACTAGGTACCACTTGCTCGGGCCAGAACCTTGATGGCGGACTGGGATCTTTTTTTTTTTTTTTTTTTTCCCTCACTCACCCAGTCTCTGTTTCGAAACACATCAGATCCTTTCATTGCCACACCATGATCACTGCCCTGGCACAAGCCACCGCCATCTCTTGCCTCTTGCATTGGCCACGCTCGCTTGAGCCTGCTCCCCACACAGCAGCCAGAGTGATGGAAGCAGATGTGGCCCTGCTCTGTGCCAAGCGTCTCATCTCCTCTCTGTCATTTAATGCTTCTGCTTGCTCCAGCCTTCATCTGGCTGTTCCCTCTACTTGGGACGCCATTTCTCCAGGTACCTCCACGGCTAATCCTGACCTGCCCCAGCTCGTTCCTCAGACGTGGCCTTCTCTAAGAGGCCCACACCCACTAGTTCCCCTACCCCCCCACTCCAGTCCAAATGACCTCCTTCTTTCTCTAGGGAACTTACTCTACCAATCAGATAAGGGGATTGCCTGACTTGTGTCTTTGGAAAGGAGGTCTGACAAGCACCCTCTCATGGCTGTCCTCCTAACAAGAGAGTCTGACATTCAGCAGGTGTGCAGCAAGAACACCCAGGAAGAGAAATTCCTTCTGTAAGTTCCAAAGCTCAGCCAGGCGTTGGTGGCTCACGCCTTTAATCCCAGCACTCGGGAGGCAGAGGCAGGTGGATCTCTGTGAGTTCGAGACCAGCCTGGTCTACAAGAGCTAGTTCCAGGACAGCCTCCAAAGCCACAGAGAAACCCTGTCTTGAAAAACAAAACAAAACAAAACAAAACAAAACGTTCCAAAGCTCAGTCCTCTCCCCCAACCTCCACACTCGAAACCCGCCCCCCAGACCACTACACTTGAACATCTCCGAGAACACCATACCCAACGTGCACTCTCCAACAGGTTGTTCTCCTCTTCCCCACTGAGTTCTGGTGTCCCTCAAGACCTGAGCACCCCCTTACCCCACCCAACCTTTCTCCTCAGGAAGGCCTGGCTCTCGGTCCAACTGCCATCATTTCACCTGACCCACGTCTTCTGCCTCCTGCTGTTCTCACTGACACACATATTTTCCTATGTAGTCTGTCACTTTTCACAACACAGATCTGACCCCATCACTTCACTGTTCCATGCTCTAACCTTGGGACTTCTTGGGGGGGGTGTGCTCTGGAGCCTTCCACCTGTGTCCCACAAGGTCCCTGATCAGAACATACTCGCTCAATGCTTCAAGTTCGGCTTAAAGGTAGCATTCTTAGGGTATGAGCCTCCCAGATGGTCAGAACCCTTTCCAAAGGCCCGGCCCATCTCCTGGCAGCCATATACTCTCTGTGTCCCAAGAGCTCAGTGGCCTGAGGCCTCCCCTAGACTGAGAGCAGCATGGAGGGGGCAATTACAAGCAAAATGAGATGATAAATACATATGAAAATGTACACTAGGGGCTGGAGAGATGTGGCTCAGAGGTTAAGAGCACTGACTGCTCTTCCAGAGGTCCTGAGTTCAATTCCCAGCAACCACATGGTGGCTCACAACCATCCGCTATGAGACCTGGTACTCTCTTCTGGTGTGCAGATATACATGGAAGCAGAATGTTGTATACATAATAAATAAAATCTTTAAAAAAGAAGAAAGAAAATGTACACTAACTAAAAATTAATAATACATTTTTTTTTTTTTTTGGTTTTTTGAGACACGGTTTCTCTGTGTAGCTTTGGAGTCTATCCTGGCACTCGCTCTGTAGACCAGGCTGGCCTTGAACTCACAGAGATCTGCCTGCCTGTGCCTCCAGAGTGTTGGGATTAAAGGCGTGCGCCACCGACGCCTGGCAATAATACATTTTTTTAAAGTTATGTACTAGCACTGCCCCCTGCCAGCCGAAAGCCTGGTGAGAGCTGGCAAAAAAGAGTTCACCATCAGTGAATCACACTGGTCTCTCTGGGACAAGAGAGTAGAGTCTATGGAACCAAACACCCCAGTTCCTAAAGGGGAAAGAGACAGCGGGAACTAGAAGGTGCCTGCGGGGACCAGGGAACTGTGGGACCTTAGGGCTCTTGGAAAGGGGAGCCTCGAGAAATGCAGACAGAACACTCAGTTCTCCCTCACACTCAGCCTTGGCGCAGATGAGGCTAGCCGAGGGGTAGTTAAAGGACTTGAGGATTCGGGAGACTGCCAGGCTGACGTCCTCATTACTGGGGTACAGGCTGACAGATGCGAAGCGAAGGTACTGAAGACGGGGCGTCTCCTCAGGACCCACCTTGATGTGGGGAATCTGGACAGAAAGGGAGGTGTTGCTCACGGGGATCCAAGCCCCGCCCCCACTCCTTATCCGCTCCCCCTCCATGCCCCGCCTTACCTCCTTTTCCCCACAGATATGGCTCACGGTGGAGGCAGAAGCTGTCCTAGAGGAGGGTCCCAGGACAGACACGACCCCTTTGGGCAGGATCTGACACACTGTGAGGGGAAGAGACCAGAGTCAGGGAGTCTCTGCTTCGGCTCCCGATCCGCCCACAGGAAGCTGCCCTGGTTCTGGAGAGGATCCAGAGGAGCTGTGGGATCCTCGTCCACCGGCCTGGATTCCAGAGGACCAGTCCCTGGCCTGCTCAGATAGAGGGAAGCACAGAGAGACAGGCCAAGCGGAGAAGAACACGGGAAGACATGTGGACACATGGGATGCGTGCGTGTGTGCCTGTGTGCATTGAGGCAAGGTCTAACTATACAGTCCAGGCTTGTTAAGTAAACAACAGTGGCCTTGAACTCATATCCCTCTGGCCTGGGCCTCCGAATGCTGGGCCTCCAGGCCTGGCCTGCACCACCATGGCCAGCTCTGTGCCTCCTTCTGGAATGTTAGACCAGGAGCTGGCTTCCTCTGCCTTGCAAGCTCTTCAGTCACTCTACTACCCATGATGCCCTCCCCGTGGGTGAAACTAGCACCTGAAGCCGGTTATGTGTTGTGACTGGGGTGGGTGGTACATGCCTGAGCTGGCCATCCTGAAGTAGGGCAGAGGTGCAGAGCATGGAGGGGAGACGGACGGGAAAAGAATCCAGAGATAAGTAGGAGGCAAGACTAAGGCTCTCAGGAGAGAGGCGGAAAGCAAGAACCATTTTCTGGCATGTGGTCTGTGCAAATGGAGGAGCCTTCAACACGGAGGACATACAAGAAACAAGACTGGATCATCCAGATGTCCTGTTTAGATGTTTTAGGTTAGCCATGGCAGAAACTCAGGATGGCTTAGAAGAACAGTATTGGCTGGGCTGGAGGTCATGTTTGCCTGGAGGTCATACATTGCCTAGAAATGTATGAGGCCATGGGGGGTAATGGAGGGGAGAAGAGAGAGACACAGAAAGGATGAGAATATAAATTGGGCCGGTCGCTGGTGGCGCACGCCTTTAATCCCAGCACTCAGGAGGCAGAGGCAGGCGGATCTCTGTGAGTTCGAGGCCAGCCTGGTCTATAAGAGCTAGTTCCAGGACAGCCTCCAAAGCTACACAGAGAAACCCTGACTTGAAAAACAGAGAGAGAGAGAGAGAGAGAGAGAGAGAGAGAGAGAGAATATAAATTGGATCATACCACCAAAAGGATTCCACACTAATTTCAGACATTGCTACATCTAGGAGCTCATGATTTCCTAGGATTCTGCCAGGAATGGCTGGATTCTACAGATGTGAAAAGAGAAAAGTCTCAATCTCTCTCTCTCTCTCTCTCTCTCTCTCTCTCTCTCTCTCTCTCTCTCTCTCTCTCTCTCACCTGGGTCCCGATTGCCTTTGACTTGGCTTCATTTTCAGGATCCCTTCAAACACACACTGACTCCAGCTGCCCAAGATGGCCTCACCCCAACCCTGTTCTTTGGCTCAACCCTAAGTGCATGCCTGTTCTACCGTCTGCCTCTTCAGCCTCCTCTCAGCTTCTCCTAGACTGTGTCTGTGACAGGCTAGTCAAAAAGGCCTGGACAGTCTTCCCCATTCTCCCTCTCGGTGATTTGAAACACTCATGATCTAACAAAGGTCGTGTAAGGCCTGTGGAAAAAAAAACTGTTTACACGCTTATTTATTTGTTGTGCTTGGAATCAAACCCATGTACTACGGGTACAGAGCTAAGGCTGATATCAGGCCTAACAAGTCTGTTGTTTGAGTTTGGGTTTGGTTTTTCAGGCAGGATCTTACTCTACAGATCAGGCTGGCCTGAAACTCACTCTGTAGCCAAAACTGGTTTAAAATTCACTGCAACTCTCCTGCCTCAGCCTTCTAAGTACTGAGACGACAGGTGTGAGCCACCACACCCAGCATAAAACAGGTCTTAATGCAGAAGGTTACAAAGAGCTATGATCTCAGCCCGGCTAGGGCAAGCGCTCTGGTTAGTTTTGCCAACTTGGAACCTTGAGTGAGGAAATGCTTCTGTCAGACTGGCCTGTAGGTATGTATGGGGTGCTTGCTTGCTTGATTATTGTGGGAGGGCTCAGCCCACTGTGGGTGGTGACATCCCTGGGTAGATGGCCATAGGGGTATCTGAGCAAGCTGGGAAGAGCGAGCCGGTAATGAGTACTCCCCCATGGTCTCTGCTTCAGGTCCTGCCTCCAGAATCCTGCCTTGAGTTCCTGCCCTAGCTTTTCCCTCTATGATGGACTACATAACCTGCAAACTAAAATAAACCCTTCGCTCCCCAAGTTTGTTTTGGTCAGTGTTTTATCATAGCTACAAATAGCAGACTAGGATAGCAGGTACTACCATTTACCGGGGCCGTGAGTATCAAGGAACACTTCTGCAGCCCTCCCATGGGGCAAGCCATCTCTGCAGGGCCTGCTGGAATAGAATAACACATCACCTCCTGCTCACCTGCTCCAGAATGCCTTTCCTGACCCACCGGGGATTTTTAAAGCCCCGGGCCTCAGCGCCTGGACCTCACAACCCAGCAGCATCCACTCCCGGGAAGCAGAGACAAGCACGAAAGGAAGGTTGCGGGTGTGAGGAGATGAGTGTAAAGTTGAGCCCAGGAGGCCAGGGGTGGAGTGACTGGCTGAGGCCCCACCTGCCCTGCCTCGCCCCACGCCCCCGCGGCCCCGCTCACTGGTGTCCGTGGTCTCGTACTGGCTGTCCCGCTGCAGCTCAAAGATGTCTACTTCCACTCTGTC